TGGCAAAACCAGGTCTTAATTTTTCAAATGCAAATAGGAAACAGCAGGTTCAAACATTATCTGTATCAAAGGGTTAAGATAAATTTGATAGGAAACAGCAAGTTGAAATATCATCTATATCACAGGGTTAAGATAGGTTTGATAGGAAACAGCAAGTTGAAATATCATCTGTATCACAGGGTTAAGATAGGTTCATCGGATAAGAACATCTGTATGGCAAATGTGAGATAGCTTCGTTAGATCTATGTTATGTGGCAAAATTCATCCACTACAAACTTTACAGGACTATCATGAATATGAAACAAACTGCTGATTTTTTAAAAGAGATATAGATCTTTGGACCCACCAAAGATGCAAACATTAGAGATCTGAGGGTAAGAAGCAATAGTGAAATTCATATTCTGTTTAGATTGTCACTAATTTCTACTATCATAAAGCTAATAGACTACGATAGTTGGGACATATATGGAGAACGGCAGATAACATAGGGGCAGAAACTGCACACACAAAAGAGTTGAATAGGAGTAGAACACAAGGTGGTCCAAGAAGACAGTAAAAAAGTCCCTTCTCCACGCCCTAAGGCGTATTGGGAATATAGGGCTAGACCTATATTTTTATAGACCAATCGGCACTTGGTGGGTGATGTGGTTAGCACCACACCGTCACCTTTACTTCCCAGGACTGCATCTGGTATCCACTCAAGGCTGGGTCGGCCTGGGAGTCGAAGGTCATTTAAAAAAAAAGTCCAGCTCTGTCAGGGCGCAAACCCACGACCTTCCAATCCGCAGGTGAGCATCTAGCTGCACATGCCACGGCGACTCCTCCAAGAAGACAGTGCAGAGATAATATACAGGCGGGCCTACAAACACTTGGAGTTGCCAACTGAAAAAAAGAAGGCGACTCCTCCAAGAAGACAGTGCAGAGATAATATACAGGCGGGCCTACAAACACTTGGAGTTGCTAACTGAAAAAAGATGGCGACTACTCCAAGAATACAGTGCAGAGATAATATACAGGCGGGCCTACAAACACTTGGAGTTGCCAACTGAAAAAAGAAGGCGACTCCTCCAAGAAGACAGTGCAGAGATAATATACAGGCGGGCCTACAAACACTAGGAGTTGCCAACTGAAAAAAGAAGGCGACTCCTCCAAGAAGACAGTGCAGAGATAATGTACAGGCGGGCCTACAAACACTTGGAGTTGCCAACTGAAAAAAGAAGGCGACTCCTCCAAGAAGACAGTGCAGAGATAATATACAGGCGGGCCTACAAACACTTGGAGTTTTCAACTGAAAAAAGATGGCGACTCCTCCAAGAAGACAGTGCAGAGATAATATACAGGCGGGCCTACAAACACTTGGAGTTGCCAACTGAAAAAAGAAGGCGACTCCTCCAAGAAGACAGTGCAGAGATAATATACAGACAGGCCTACAAACACTTGGAGTTGCTAACTAAAAAAAGAAGGCGACTCCTCCAAGAAGACAGTGCAGAGATAATATACAGGCGGGCCTACAAACACTTGGAGTTGCCAACTGAAAAAAGATGGCGACTCCTCCAAGAAGACAGTGCAGAGATAATATACAGGCGGGCCTACAAACACTTGGAGTTGCCAATTGAAAAAAGATGGCGACTCCTCCAAGAAGACAGTGCAGAGATAATATACAGGCGGGCCTACAAACACTTGGAGTTGCCAACTGAAAAAAAAAGGCTAATCACAGAATGAACACACTTTATTTTTGTAGGGTTACAGAGATAAATGGAGGTGGGAGATATCTCAAGTAGTGCACATCAAGGGCTCTGAATGCTGAAGAATGAACAAACAAATGAACCTTATTTTTAAAGGACCAAAAATTGAGCATGTTTGTCTATCTTACATTTGGCTATTTTGAACACTCATCTTTCACACATCAGTTTCCTGAAGAAGAATTGTCTGGAAAAGAAGAAGCATATGGAGATAAGATTAATCAACAGAAACAAAAACAAGTGTAGATAGCAGTTTGTTTTTAAATAATGCGGACACAAACAATATGTTACACAATTTATTGCCTGGTATATTTCACTGTATCTTTTCAGGTGCATTACTAGGGAGTTAAATCAACATGATGAAGCACTGTAGTAATGCATCTGACAAAACACAATGAAATATGTCGGGCATTAAATTGTGCAATGCATTCTTTATGTCCGCTTTATTTAAATTTGCAATAGAATAATATTGTTTTGAGGAGTTTATTTGTTAAATCCAGAAATTAATTTTCAGCTAAAGTGATATTTGCTGCTGCGAAGAGGCCGCAGACCAAATGGAAATGAGTTTAAGAATTGATTCTTAATTTATAACGTACCCCAAACACGAAATCCCCGTGGGAAATCCACAGCTGACCTGACAGTCCATTATTTCAAGGGGTGGAAGTGTGCTGTTGTGTGGTGCTTTTTTTGAGTGTTCATCTAGTGTCTTCTAATGCTAATCCTAACCCTAACCCTAACCCTAACCCTAACCCTGACCCTAAACTTGGCTGTAGATAAATCGCGAGAAACTACAACCTGAACACTCTAGAATTTTTTGGGAATGTCTCCCGTGACGTTGTCGTGACGTCAGGGGTAAGTTATAAATTAAGTACCTAAGAATTTCATAATCCTCAAGTACTAGGGTTTGATTTACGCATTAGGCGGGTTCTTATAAAAAATTCTTGTAGTTTTCTGACAGTAGAATGAGAGTTTGCAGTCTTCTCCTTCACGTCCTCTTTTACCACTTTGGGTGATGAGGGAGATATTAGGTTCTACTTCTTGCTTCTTTGGCCGCCTCAACCATAGAAACATGCTTTTGTAGAGTTTCTCTTATGTTATCTTTCCATCTTGTTCTTGGTCTGACTTGTGCTCTACATCATTCTTCTCTTCTGATGAATGCCTCTTATGCATGTACCTTGATTTGCTGTTTTTTTAATGTAATTTAGAATTGGTTCTGTGCTGACTTTGCCTCTTCTGGCTTCATTTCAGACATGATCTTTTCTGCTCTCTCCTGCGTCTCTTCTCATACATCTCATTTCCAAGGTTAATAATTTTCTTTTCTGGCTTGTTGCGAGTGACCATGTCTGGCACTGGTAGCATAGGGTGAGAATGAATAAACCGTGTATGAGGTAAATGCCTGGATGTCTTGACCACATCATATAGGTGCTGGTAGGACAAGTGCAATGATCTGATCCGCAAGTTCTGGTGATCGAAAGAGGGAATGAAACATGACTGCCTGTGTTTATCGGACAGTGCGTGAGGATGATAATCAGGATCATTGCTCGAGTGATAAAAGTTTTTACTCCATGTCCCACTTCTCGTTTGATACATGCCTTCCATGATGTGGCACCAGAAGCCATTCTATCTGAAATTTTTTTCAGAGTTTTAAGAATCACTGTGTTGATAAACTTAGGCTGTCATGTTTTGCCATCTCACACGATCACCAGATTAACTTATCTAGTCTGTGTACCTGTTTCACCCCATCCCTATGTTTGAGCCATCCAGTTATTTAATAACGTTTGTTCATTCATTTAATCCTTCATTCTCAGTGCCTTTCACTTGCTCTTTTTCTATCAGTCTTTCTTGTCGCCAGGTTCTCGGTCCATTCCTTCTTATAGCAAGTCCAAAAAACATACAATATCTATGCTTAATTTGTCTAATACTTTACCTTTTTCACCTGTTTTGAGAAGGCCTGCCTTATTTGTTTGTCTGTTATTCTATTATATTTTCTGCATCTTTTCAAGTACTTATTGTGAATATACATTTACCTAAAATACCATCCTTTTTGTTATCAGTGATTTGTCTTAACCTTGTGATTCAAAGGAACTAGTGCATACAAAACAACATTTGTGAATAACTTCGTCTGGTATCAGTTCATATTAGTCAACTGTTTCTCGTGACCTAAAAAGATAAAGATACATCTAACTCAGCTGATATGTTGAATGTACACATCTATCCAGGATGAGTAAGCTTAGCCTAGGACTCCTGTACAGTAGACCTAGAGTACCATGTTTTGTCGTTGTTAAGTGTTCTATCCTTTAAAGCAAGGTTCTTGAACATATGGGGCTGTGACCCACTGGTGAGCCACAGGAAGGTCTAGGTGGGCTGGCAATCATTTCTGCCAAATCGTGTAACGGGGTAGGGTAGGTAGTTTTTCCTCTTTCAGGTTTGCTATCTGTAGGATTAACACATCAGGGATCAGAATAAAACAGGTGCAGATCCCAGGCACCCCCTCAACCGCACATATTTTTTTACCAGTCAGCAGCAGCAGATGCCACATTAGCTGAAAACTGAATTTGTGATATTGAATTTAACAAATAAACTGCTATCTACATTCATTGTTGTTTCTGTGTTTGGTTAACTGCCGGGTGGGCTGTGAAATAAGTTCTGTTTAAGTGGGCTGTGGGTGTAAACAGGTTGAGGAACACTGCTTTACAGCACATTGCAGAACCATCCCCAGCTGTTTTTACACTAAGCATTGTTACTTTCAGTTGTTTGCTGTTGTCCCTGAACGGTAGGTTCTTGATATCACTGTCAAAACCAGCACAAGGTGATCTGCTGCTGCAGGTATTAAAGGCTGACTTGGCTTTAGAGTCCAGGTCAGTGGGAGAAAAAAACTTCACTGAAAGGAATTTAAACACATGATCACAAAGTTGGTATTCAGGCATACTTTAAGCTGCCTCACCGTTTTATGTATTCATAATTAATTCAGTTCTACTTTTGTTCTTAAATTGGCGATTTGTACATAATGTTGTAGTTTACAGCTAGGCTGCGATGTCCACCCTGTACAGCCGAACATATCCGATTTGAGCAGATCTCTAGTTGTTTGCCTTTTATAACATGATTTAGTTAAGGGAAAATTGGTCTATTCCTCCCGCTCCCCAATGTGTGCCCAGGAACCCACATAAAGTAATAATTCAGTCAATTCTGGTATTTTGAAGTTGCATCTTCTCTCTGCCAACGTTTGTCATTTATTATTAACACTAATTTCCTCCCCAGGCTATGGACAAATAAATGATGATCATGACGATGATGTTCAACGTAGAGATTCAAACCCAGAACCACAGATAGAAGAGTCTGTTGTAACGCATGTTTCTGCACCCGTGCACAATGGAAGCGATGCTGGAGGTGATGACTATTCTTACAGACCACGGCTGTGTCACTTAAAGATATGGCCACACTTTCAGGTATGTATGCGCATCAAACAAGTTTGACGTCCTATTTAAAAGATTTGACGCAACCAAATTAAAATAGACTATGCCCTTCAACATCTGCTAAAGTCAAAGTGTTAGTCTCACAGCACCAAGATCAAAATATGTAAAACGTTGATTAGACCAGTTGTGTTATATGGCTCTGAAACTTGAAGCACAACTAAAAAAGATGAAGCCTTATTACAATTTTTCTAAAACAGTCTTACGACGAATCTTTGGACCCATCAAAGGTGCAAACAGCGGTGAATGGAGAGTGAGAAGCAACAACAAAATTCATAATCTGTTTAAGTCACCACTGATCACTGGCAGCATGAGCGCTAAGAGACCTAAATTGTTGGGACATATTGAAAGAATGTATGTTGACAGAGAAGTAAAAACTGTATACACCAGGGAAATGAATGGTCATAGACCACGAGGCAGACCAAAAAGACGAACAAGAGATAATATCCAGACAGACCTGCAAACACTTAGTGTCACCAACTGGAAAGAGAGGGCCAACCAGAGAGATGAATGAAGGTGGGTGATGTCTGCAGCAATGAACCTCAAGGGCTCGGAATGCTGAGAAGGAAGGAAGGAAAACTTTGTGTTTGTATTTGTTAAATTGTAAAGCTCGCTGATCTAATTTTCGTACGGTTTTATATTTTAAAAGATTTGAGACTAATTTTGTCGTTATTCAAAATTTGTGGATTCTTCTTCTCTTCTTCTTGGAGTTTCTTCTTCTGCCTTTCCAACCCCCAACTAACTTACGCCAAGTCATTCTGTCCTTCGCTTTCTCATGCAGCTCTCTTAGCATTTATTGACCATTAAAACTGCGGCGGGAAGTTCCGGTTGTTCGTCCACTTCTGGACTTTAATGTTGTTTTAGAATTTGAATTTTGCACATTTTTTCTCCCTTTCTTATACACAGACTGTTGGCTCCTTGCCTCCCACACAAAGATGTACTGTGACTTCAGGGAAAATTAGGATGTGTAAAGTATATATTGACATATATAAGGGCATGTAAGGGACTGAGAAGTAAAAACTGTACACACCAGGGAGATGAAGGGTGGTAGACCATGAGGCAGACCAAGAAGAAGATGGAGAGACTGACCTGCAAACACTTGAAAAGAGAAGGCCAGCCAGAGAGATAAATGGAGGTGGGTGAAATCTGCAGCAATGAACCTCAATGGCTCGGAATGCTGAAGAAGAAGAAGATATATAGATATATATTCTCAGTGACAAACAATTTGCAAGTAAACCAGTGTGGGGCGTTAATTTCTGAGCATCCCATTGTGCGCATTAATATGCCTGAGCTGTTATGTGAAGGGTGGAAGTGAAATGATTGCATGTATCATTTCCAGGGTTATGGGTTCAACCTGCATGCAGAAAGAGATAAACCTGGCCAGTTTATTGGGCTCGTGGATGACAACTCACCGGCCAGCACTGCCGGACTACGAGTCCAGGACAGGATCATCGAGGTCTACGGAGTCAATGTAGAGAGTCAGAATCACAAGGAGGTCATCGCCAGAATCAAAGCCACCCCTGGGGAGACCAAGCTTCTGGTTGTGGATAGGGAAACAGACAACTACTACAAAAGCAGAGGTATCACCATATCCTCAAGCTTGCCCCAGACAGAGTATATTGTCACTCCTGATGCTGCTGGTAAGTTGTTTCTTACTGATTAACATTGCTTTCGTTAACTCTTGAAGGGTAGAAGGCCAGTATTGAGGGCAGTTTTTTTTTTTTTAACTCTTGAAGGGTAGAAGGCCAGTATTGGGGGCAGATTTTCTTTCTTCTTCTTCGCCAGCTGTACACTCTGGCAGAAAGTTCTGGTTGATCGTCCACTTCTAAACTGCAGTCCTGCTCCAGAACTTGAGTGTTGCATACATCCATTTTACAGATCTGATTCGATTGAATGCAGACTGCTGGTTCCTTGCCTCTCAGGCAGATGCACTCCGACTTCAAAGGAAACCCCAAAATTAGTCGACTCTTATGACATGCTTTTGGGGAGGCAGTGGGTCTTATCTTGTTTTCCCCACAATAGGGCCCCGGAACCCACACGGGGGAGATTTTCTTTAATTCTTGAAGGGTAGAAGGCCAGTATTGAGGGCAAACATTTCTTTAACTCTTGAAGGGTAGAAGGCCAGTATTGAGGGCAAACATTTCTTTAACTCTTGAAGGGTAGAAGGCCAGTATTGAGGGCAAACATTTCTCAATGTTCGTAACAGACGACCACTACTTATGGCAGGAATTTTGAAGCCAGGCTTTTTGTTTTATTATTTAGGGAAATGGCAAACCTATTTTCTTTTAATAGCAGATACTCTTAAGGCTTTTTATTCTTTAGGGCATTGGCAGGTCTATACTGTATTTTTTTTTTGTTTTTTTGTTAAACCTTGGTTAAAAGCTCCCTTTTTGGATATTATTTTTATTTTTTATTTTTTTTTTAAAATTTTAATTTAAAGAAAAAAAACACAGATTAAAAACATGATAGAATAAACACGCTTCATACCCGTTAATTTTTCTAGGAAAAAGAACTGTGTGTGCATGGTTAAAAATACATGACCACTTAAATACAGAGAGGGAGAGAGGAAAATCTGCCGCCTAATATGATGAAGCCTTTATGCTCTTTAAAAGTTAATTATCTTTTAATTTCTCTTATATAAATTGTTTTTAAAAATCCCTTATTATTTTTATTGGTAAAATATTTTATTTGGTGCATTGGATAATTTTTTTTTGAGTACACTTCTTTGATTCCTATTGGTTTTTAATAATCCTTCATTGAATTACTTCAGTTTTCTAACGTGGTATTATGTTGAATTAATATTGCTTCATTGTGAATGCTTTTATTTTGTTTTTAGTACCACATGTATTCCCGATACCCAGTTCTTCCATAAACCTCAACTTTAGACCACACTTTATTTTACCAGAAGCTTTTAGTATGTTTCTGTCTTGCCTAGTCTTGGTTGGTCAAGTTTTCTGCTTTTGAAGATCAGCTTTTTGGTATCTGTTTCTGTTTTAGAAGTCATTGGTTGTCACTTATTGCCTTTGTTTATTTCTGTCCTATTTATTTTGTTTTTATCATTACTTTACTGTACCGTTTTAAGAATTCCTGATCTCCTTAGATCAACCATGACCTCAAGCATAATTTTATATTTTAAGTAAGTTTGTGATATGTCCACCTTGCTGTCAGATATATGTGTGTCTCTTAGAGAGAGAGAGAGAGAGAGAGAGAGAGAGAGAGAGAGAGAGAGAGGGGGGGGGGGGGGGGGGCGGGGGAGTGTTTAAGAAGGATTGTGGTCTAGCTATTTTCAAAAAAAATTTAAAGGGTCAATCTTTCTGTGTCCACTATATGTTATCTACTTGATTATACGCAACACTTTTTGTCTGTGTGTTAAAATATGCATGTGCATACAGATTTTCCCTTGGCTAGAATTAAGTGCATTAAGGTGCATTTAGATAGAAAAAATCCAATCAGAATAAACTACCCAGTGTCTGTCTATTCTGCATGTAGTGCTACAGCTAGATTTTCATTTAAGACACAGAAAACAGTTGCTTTCAAATCAGTTTTTTGGGGGAAAAATAAGCATTTTTATTATTATTTTTGATCCGCCCGTTACATTTCTGTTGTTAGCAAAGAAAGTCAAGACCTATTTTCATGCCTTAGTTAGGTCTTTTCAGCATATAGTGATAGACCTATATTATAGACCAGCGGCTGTGGGTCACGACTCCTTTGGGGTTCGAATGACCCTTTCACAGGGGTCGCCTGAGACCATAGGAAAAGACATATTCAATGAAATTATGAAGTAGCAACGAAAATAATTTTGTGGTTGGGGGTCACCACAACATGAGGAACTGTATAAAAGTAAAACCCAGTGGAAAGTTCTGGTTGTTCGTCCACTTCTGGACGTTGGTCTTGGTCCAGATTTTGAGTTTTACGTGCACATCCTGTTCACAGATCTGGCTTATTTGTATGCAGACTGTTGGTTTCTTGCCTCTAAGGCAGATGTACTGACTTGAAGGAAATACCCCTGAATTAGTCGACTTTTACAACCCACTTGTTAGAGGGCAATAGGTCTGTTCTCCCACTTCCTAAAAATAGGGCACTGGAAGTTTCACAGGTTAAACAAAGGAATTGATTTGTTTCTATCCCAATAGCTTGTATACTTTATACTGTTTTTTTAATGTTATTTTAATGAGAGACTGCTAGACTTGCCTATGTTTTCATTTCAGCATGTCATTAGCTTTATTTGTACAACTGAATCATGTGTTGCTTGTGCATGCTGAATTTCATTAACCATATCAGTTGTCGAAAGGCACCAGTTTTAGTCAGAAGTTAATATCATTCAGCCCGCTGAGAAAGACTATCCTCATTTTCCAGCATTGATGTGTACAGCTTGTGTTTCCATGTTTGTAGATTTTCCTGCAGCTCAAGAAGATAATGAGGTGGCCCCAGTCGAGGCCAGCTCAGATGCTGTCCCCACTGTGGACAGCTCCCAGCATGAGAGTAATCAGGAGAGTGACCACGAAGAGGATAGAAGCCATGATAAGGAAGACCACAGGGATGTAGAAGAAGAGATCGCTGTAACGAATGAAGTTAACAATGCTACTGAGGAGGAGGAGGAGCAGCTTAACAATGCTATTGAGGAGGCGGAGGAGGAGCTGCAGCAGCAGCAGGTGCCTGCTCCTGTTGCATCAGAAGGGGGGAGGGAAAATGAAGAAAAACCTGAAGGTATTTATGATCTGTTGCACGATGCTAGAAAACGCCTTCGGGACTGGCTTGCAGCAGCTTGCATGATAACATTAACAGCAGCACAATAACTTGATCTTTAACACAGATGGGTTTTATCTCATAGTGTTTCCTTACATTTGCATTTTTCTGTTTGTAGTTAGGGATTGTGTCTTCTAGAGACATGTCTTGTACATTTACTTTTCAGATTTATAGTGATTGATTAGATCTTCTATAATAGGGCTATTCATTTGCGGCATGCAGTCTGAATCCAGCCAGAAGAGATGTAGCAAATAGCTCGTGGATCATTGCCATTGTTTTGTATTATAATTGATCTTTCTTTGCTGGGTTTTGACCTCTAGTCCTTGATGATCCTCCTTTTTAATATTTTTGGCCCCTGAGTAAACTTAGTTGAATAGCCCTGTTCTAGAGGCACCTTACATTGACATCTCATTTTTATAGCTAGGGATTGTATCTTCTAGAACCATCTCCTTACATTTACACCTCATATTTATAGCTAGATAACATTCTTCTAGTGACATACTTTCTTTACATTTACATCTTGTATTTAGAGCTAGGGAGTGTGTCTTCTAGAGATACATCATTGATTGCCATTTATATTTAATTTTCCTATTCATAAGGGGGGATTGTAATCTACCACAGATACCTTCTTACATTTACAACTCATATTAATAGCTAGGAATTGTCTTCTAGAGGCATCTCCTTGCATTTACATCTCATATTTATCTCTAAATATAGTGTCTTCTAGAGTCATCTCCTTGCATTTACATCTCATATTTATCTCTGAATATAGTGTCTTCTAGAGACATCTCCTTAAATTTCATCTCATATTTATCTGTGAATATAATAGTGTCTTCTAGAGACATCTCCTTGCATTTACATCTCATATTTATCTCTGAATATAGTGTCTTCTAGAAACATCTTCTTGCATTTGCATCTCGTATTTAACTCTGAATATAGTGTCTTCTTGAGACATCTCCTTGCATTTACATCTCATATTTATCTCTGAATATAATAGTGTCTTCTAGAAACATCTCCTTGCATTTGCATCTCAGATTTATCTCTGAATATAATGTCTTCTAGAGACATCTCCTTGCATTTACATCTCATATTTATCTCTGAATATTGTGTCTTCTATAAACATCTTCTTGCATTTGCATCTCGTATTTATCTCTAAATATAGTGTCTTCTTGAGACATCTCCTTGCATTTACATCTCGTATTTATCTCTGAATATAGTGTCTTCTTGAGACATCTCCTTGCATTTACATCTCATATTTATCTCTGAATATAATAGTGTGTTCTAGAAACATCTCCTTGCATTTACATCTCATATTTATCTCTGAATATAGTGTCTTCTTGAGACATCTCCTTGCATTTACATCTCATATTTATCTCTGAATATAATAGTGTCTTCTAGAGATATCTCCTTGCATTTACATCTCGTATTTATCTCTGTATAAAGTGTCTTCTAGAGACATCTTGCATTTACATCTCAGATTTATCTCTGAATATAGTGTCTTCTAGAGACATTTCCTTACATTTACATCTCCTAATTATCTCTGAATATAGTGTCTTTTAATGACATCTCCTTACATTTACATCTCGTATTTATCTCTGAATATAGTGTCTTCTAGAGACATCTCCTTGCATTTACATTCCGTATTTATCTCTAAATATAATAGTGTCGTCTAGAGACATTTTCTTGCATTTACATCTCGTATTTATCTCTGAATATAATAGTGTCGTCTAGAGACATCTTCTTGCATTTACATCTCGTATTTATCTCTGAATATAATAGTTTCTTCTAGAGACATCTCCTTACATTTACATTTCATATGCTTATCTAGGGATTGTGTCTTCTGGAGACACCTCCTTATGTTTACATTTCATATGCATATCTAGGTATTATGTCC